AAAAAGTAAATAAATAAAATATTACAGAAATTGCTGTGTGCAAGTGACAATGTCTGTATATTAAGTGTCATACTGATAATTAAGTGAAGTCATGTTGGTGTTAAGAGACTGAGTTTGAGTTTAGGAGCCTGATGGCCTGGGGGAAGAAGCTCCTCCTAAGTCTCTCGGTTTTTGCCATCAGGCTACGGAAGCGCTTACCAGATGGCAGCAAAATGAAAAGACAGTTACCAGGGTGGTTGGAGTCCTTGATGATTTTAACAGCTCTGCTTTTGCAGCATTTGAGGTAGATGTCCTGTAGAGAGGGGAGAGCAGACCCTGAGATGCGCTCAGCTAAGCGCACAACTCTCTGCAGGGCTTTGCAGTCTTGACTGGAGCTGTTCCCATACCACACTGAGATCGCAAAATCCTTCCAGTGCACTGGAACGTTCACTCCCTGAAAAATCCTACAATGCACCACAAAAACTAGGGAGCATCGGCGCTCACTATGCTCCCTTACCGGAAACAACGTCACATTTCTTAAGCGTGAAACATAAACCACAAGAGTCAACGCGATAAATATAATGACACGCGATAGAAGATTTGAAAAGACAGACCGTTTTTTAGACATCGCTAGACAGGTGATGAACACATCTAATTATCATAATATTCGGCTGAAATGTTGTAAGAACATGTAACAGAACGATGTGTTTAAAGAGAATAAAAAATAATATAAAAATTTGATTGGTCCTGCCTGTTGTTTATTAATTCCAGTGATGACGTTCTACTGTGTTGTCCGTTGACGCTGTACGTAATCATATCACTGGAATTCGAGTGTTCACTGTCCCAACGTGCAGCGAGTCAGGGAACTTACCAGTGACCGAATTTGTGTACACGATCTACTGATTCACGAGATCGGGAGCTGATTGAGACGCACCTATCGTTTGTTTTGAATATGCACCCTCTATCGGCGAAAACTTACATATTGTGCCTTTAACACTGCAGTCATCAATGAAAATTAAGTGCGGCTTTATTTCAAGCACCGACTTACAAAAACATCCCGTTTAACACAAAATGCGTTTCTTTCTTCTCATTTTTTTTCACTATGTTCGGGCCACAAGAGATATATTAAGGGAGTAAATTTAAAACGGTTATATATAGTTATCAGCATATGAAGTAGATTTGTCTCTCGTCGTCTCTGAGAGAATATGTGCCGTTAATATAGCATCAGATGCTGAAAGGTCCATCGGTTTTTACGTTCACTTTCTGGTGAATTGACTGAGATTAAGACGTTCACCGGCAAGTACTTTTGCGCAAAGTTTGCACGTTGCTTGTGTGATATCCATTGGCTTGCCTTCATGATTTATAACATAAATATTTACAACATTGCAACGTAACCCCCCCACACCATCGGTGTTACAAGTACCCCAGGCACATCATTTTACCATTTTTGTAGCATAAACACCATCAAACCGAGAGAGATTTGGATTTTTCAATGTTTCTCAATGGCGTTAAAACCTAAAGATGCCAGAGTTCCAGTCCCTGTGCAACTGATACTCAACTGCCATTGGCTTATCTGCGTTCAAGGGGAGAGGCTTATCAAAAGGTCAATTAGACTACAGTTGGCCTTGAAGTTGTATGCTTGCACCGAAATATGTATTTACGTATTGTCATGTAAACTTGGATAGACAGCTGAACACTGTAACTGTAAACACAAAAACGTATCTATAAATATAAATATTGTAAAATGTTTTTGTTTATGATGCCTAATACAGTTAACAAATTGAACCATACACTGAGAAAATGTTATTGTTGTCAATCCTAATTTTCTCGGACAGTACCTCCTGCTGCACGAAAGCTGCTCACTGGAGTCGGACGCTCTCGCACCCCCACGGCTGAACTTGAGAGAACCGCTTATGGACCACCAGGTTGTTGCAGCCCTACTGGATATATGAACATGGTAAGATATGTGGTGCTTCACTCCTTATATAGGTCTGATTGCAAAGCTCTCTCAATGATTTATTGTTCAAATTGGTATTGGCATTGGTATTTTCTTTCTCTGAATTTTTCATCGTGGAGTCTCATGCTATATCCTTCAGACTTGTCCACAAGTACCTAATATTATAATTTCGTCTATATGACAAGTAACTATGCACCCGTCTGCCGTTGCCAATGTCACTTCTAGTCTAGTTCACCCTGCAGAACTTGTATTGCAGACATTTCTGGATATTTAATCTGCTAAATGTCTCTCGGGCATCTGTTGGTATCTCAGATTGCATTTTAAAAAATCCACACAAAGCAATCGTCACTCACATGAACAAGCAATGATTCGCTTCTGATTTCAGGTTTTCATCAGTGGTCTCCACTAATAGTCAGTGAGAGAAAAATCAGGGATAAAACTGTAGCATGTGGGCTTCATTAGATGTTACCCGCCATTAGTCTAAATAATCTAGGTTTTATTTACTTACTTTGTTTGTTTATTATTTGCTGGTTCTTTAATGAGGGATGGCTGTCTCTTTGTTTTTTTTTTGTTATGGCTGGTTTCTTTCCACATCATAGCTTGTTTATACAGCGCACAATCTGTTAGCACATGTTGATTTTGTTTGGGTGTTGTGTCTGGTTTCCGCCAGACTTTGTTTTTTGCTGCAGTAACTCTTTGTTCTCTGTAGCCCCTGTCAGTGGCCCATCAAGAGCCTCAGTCAGGAGAGGAAGACCAGTATGATGCGGATCACCTGCGCCGTATTGCTCGCAGCCTGAGTGGAACGGTCATTGGCCGTCGCCAGAACCGCCTTGCCGTCTCCCGAAGCTTCGTAAGTATCCCACACATATCTCTCAATTACACTAAAAGTAACTCTTACTATCTTATTTAATCTAAGGAGCTAACTAATGGCTAAAATATGAGTGAAATAGTGCAACTAGTGACTACTGGCTTTCAAGAGTCTGCTAGAGGGGCCAAAGGAGGGGGGAGGAATGAGATATCTGCCCTAGAAACCTGATAAGAGCGCTGTCACCTATGCAGGAGAGTGCTAACACACAGCTACTGCCACTTCAGCCTGATCTGTGTGTGCTGCCTGTCCCTTGTCAATCACTGCTGAGTTTTATGTCATTTGATGTACACTCTGCATTTACATCGTTATTTTCATAGCAAATGCTGTCTATCAAAGCTATTTTGTGTGTATAGTGTGTTGTTTTGGCATTCATTCATTTTTAATATATAATGTATGCCAGAAATATATGAATGCATAACTGTATTGTCACATGACATCCACGTGCACTGTGCACACTCAAATACACATGCACAACTTCTCATTGTCTTACTGAGTCATACTGCCATCCTGTGTCCACATGCTGTAGCTTCACTACATTTGAAAAGAGGCCTGGTGTCTCATTTATAAAAACATGCATATAGTCATCTTCCCAAATGCATTTGTATGCACTTTAAAAATGTTCCCTAATCCTACTTGGACATAAGTGAGAGTATATGAAAACGGTAATGCAACAAATTTGGTTACTAGATTTTAGTTTCTGGCCATACTGTATATATATATATTTAATTCATTATCCTGTCAGTGATCCATTTTTATCAATTTTTCATTCATCTCATTTACATGCACATTATTTTTCAGACCATGTTCTCATTAAACCTTTTAAACTCATTAAACCATTAAACTCTGAAATGTGGTTTACCCACTCCAAAGAGTGTAAAGCTATTTAAGAGTTTCAAATAAATAGCAAATAAACAACACTTTTTTTGCACTATTCACCAGTCCCCAATTTTGCCATTTATTATGGTGTGTTCTTAATAATTTAATTAATAATTACTTAATAATATCACTTTTTTAAAATATTGATTTATCTTTCTTGTAGATATGAAAAAAATATATATAAAATGTAATGTAAATAAAAATATTATGTATGTTTGTTTGATGATGCATGAATAATAGTATTTTAGTATATTATTGTGCATGCAATTGTGGTTACTCATTTTATTCATTTATTCACTCACTGACTTTTTGCTATTGCATCACTGGAAATGATTAGAAAATGATGTCAGCATGCACTGGCATAACAGTGCATGGTCATAAAAATAGCTTGTATGGCTGCTTTTTACTTGCAGTTCGTGTAAGAACATTTTCACATCAGTTTCTGCTTTTAAAAGGATAGTTAACCCAAAAATGAAAATTATGATCATGTATTCACCCTCACTTCAGTCCTAACCTGTATTACTTTCTTTCTTCTGCTGAACACACAAGAAGATATTTTCAAGAATGTTTTAACTGCTTTGGTCTATACCAGGGGTGCCCAAACTCGGTCCTGGAGGGCCGGTGTCCTGCAGAGTTTAGCTCCTATCTTGTTTTGTTCCACAGAAGAAAGAAATAAAGTCATTCAGGTTTAAAACCATAAGAGAGCGAGTAAATGATGACAGAGTGCTCATTTTTTGGGTGAACTATCCCTTTAATAAATCTAAATTTTTCATCATTTTTGACTTGGGATCAAATCTGAACTTATGTGCATTTTATAAATGAGGCCCCTGATTCTTTTCGTGCCTTACTTTTGTGCTCCCCATCTCTTCCCCTCTCCCCATCCTCCCCCTCTCTTCTGCTCTTTTTCTCTCTTTTGACTGAATGCACTTGTGTTTTTCCTCGGCCTTGTGCATATCAATGTATGTGTTGTGTGTGTACCTAGCTGGGGGACTCCGGGGTTACGTCATATCACAACTCCATGTACTCACCTAGTTGCCTTCAGTTTCCATTGTCTCATTCAGACCTCCATCTGCTCCAACCCAGCTATCTTCATCTCCTTCCATCATCTTCACCCCCGTCTCAGCAGCCTGGGCCTTCCAGAGAGGCCCCAGGTAAAGCTCACTCTCGTTTTCCACATACATAACCACCTCATCCATTCAAAGGGCCATTTCCCTCTTCTTCCGCATTCATGTTTCTGCCATTGCATTGCAACTGAGTCCAGGTGCCAGTGGCCCCCCACTAAACAGTCTGCATTCGCTTCATTTTCGTTTCCTGCTGTTGAAGGAGCTCCTCTTTCGTTGTTGCTTTTTTTCTTTGATTGGTCTGGTTCCTGTCCTTCACACTCCATCCTACCCCACTGCAGGACGTCTCCAGAGGTTCTCCGAGTTTCTGGCTGTGTTTGACCGGCGTCAAGCTCTCTCCAGTGGGAAGCACTACGGTCCAGCAGTGAGGTGTATTGGAAGACATCCTCTCTGAAGTTCTCACCCAACCAATTGGCTTTGGACCAGGTCCTCCAGCCCTGGAACATTTCCACAGATGTGTTTGTTCCCCCTGGATGACCCTTCTGCACACCCCATCCCATTCTCTTCACAGTTTCCTGGAGAACTGGAAGGAGCACGTTCAGAGACCTGATGCCATCCTCAATCACCCTGCACTCTGTATTGTTCCTGGGATGATGCCCTTCTGTTACCCTGCTATAGTCGGTAAATCTTTCCATGCAGAAGCCCCTGAAGCTCGATCCACAGCATGACGGAAAGAGACACCAAAACCAACTTTTTTTTTTATTTACGAGCACTGGGATGGCGTGATTCTTTGGGGCTGAGGTGTGTGTGTATGACTAACCTATAGTCAGACTTGCAGCATGCAATGATAGGAGCGTGGGGTCCAGATTTGGACTCCCGCAGTGAGCCATCCAGCCCAGAGCACTTAACTTAATTAACCCCAACATTCAATTAATTGCAGAGGAGAAGCATACGGTACCTCCTTGCTGCACTAGACGGTAAATGTGTGTTTGTGTGTATGCGTGTGTGCATGTGTTGGGTGGTCAAAGGGGAGGGGCTTATTGTAATCCTGCCCTCATTTATACTACAGGTCAGAAGTTTGGAATGATTAAGATTTTTTTTATATATTTTTAATAAGATGTCTCAAGTGATCAAAAATACAGTAAAAACAGTAAAATTGTGAATATTATTACAATTTAAAGCATTGTTTTTCATTTGAATATATTTCAAAATAAATATTTAGCAGCTTGACAGTTTTTAACATTGATTATAATAGTATTAATAAATGTTTCTTGAGCACCAAATCAGCATATTAGAACGATTTCTGAAGGATCATGTGACACTGAAGACTGAAGTAATGGAATAAATTACACTTTAAAATATATCTAAATATAAAACAGTTATTTTAAATTGTAATAATATTTCATAGTGTTTTTATAATATTTTTAATCAAATAAATGCAGCATTAGTGAGCTTACGAGATATAAAAAAAAATGTAATTATTCCAAACTTTTGACCGATAGGGTATTAAAAACCATTCTTTACCCTTCCTCCTCGCCTGTTCCACAGATACAAGTTCTCAGCAAACCAGCGTCCCAGAATCGTCATCGCTTTGCTGAACATTTTTTCCCAAGCAACTCTCCTGCGAACGTTTTTTGGTAGCGGGATGGGTTAATGTCATGTACATGTACATGTAGATGCTAAGTACTTCAACCTGTACTAAGTGAATCGAGATGTTTTGTACGGTGTCATCTCTCAGCTGTGGTGCTTTTTGTCGGAGCAGGCATGTAAATCTGTGGCCCTGGCACGGAGCGTGGAATGAGACTGTCTCTTCTAACCTTTTTCCTCCTATTTCTCTGATACGGGCATTCCCTGTAGCACACAGCTGTTTTGTGTCTCGTGTTACAGGCAAAGACTGTGTACATGTTTGACTGAACATACACTAACAAATGAATTTATTGTTAATAAAAAACTACAACATCTTAAGAAATATACAGAGGAATGGAGAAACTACGCAATGACGTTATGGAATGTTAATCAATTCTAGTGGTAATAATTATTATCTGCATTAAGACAAGTATAGTACACTTCAGAAGTGTAAAGCTGGAGAAAAACTGCTATTTTAATTCCATTGACAGTTCTCCCATTTATACAGGGAGATATGCCAAGTTAAGCTTCCTTTTTATTGTTTATTTTACTTGATTCAATTTTTTTTTTTTTAACTTGCAGTGACACTGAAACCACAGCTATGAGTCTGGCACATGATGGATCTTCAGGCCTGTAATGATTGAGGGGTCTCATTCCATTCAATTTTTGTAGAATCTATATTATTTCTAGATTTTACTTTAATCAACACAGCTGAAGAATGTTCGGCCCCTGATAGCATAGATAGCCTGCAATTTGGACAGTATTATGTACTGTATATGGGGCCTTGAGCAAGGAATGCTTTCATACTGTTATTCAAATAAACGTAATAGGATTTGTGAGATATATTAACGATACTCCAATACTGATCAACAGATGTTTCATATCACAATATAATATGATTAATGCAGTATTTAACTTTTCATTCTAATCATATTGTGCTGTGATATGTATTATTTTTTTCATTAAAAACCTTTGAGTGCTGAAATTAAAATGATTATAAAAGAAATAACGTACAGAGATAGATCTTATTTAACTTTGTCTTAACCAAAGATTGGCTCTAACACAAAGATATGTTTTTTGTCATTTATTCATCTTTCCTTTCATTTAAAGTATTTTTGAGAATGTAGCAAAGGTGGTGTATGAGTATGCTATGCAAAATGCTCTCTCCTGAACTACCAGCAAAGAGTCAGACTGGGACAAAATCAAATACTTTTTCTTTTTTTTTCCTATATACTGAGGAAGAAAATGATTTCCTGCTGAATTGTTGAATCTTTACTTATTAATGTCTGTACAGTTAACAGCCTTTGAATGCACGTTGTAGCTGGTGGGAGGAGGATTTCTCAAAGATGAAATGGCATTTCAAAGTTTTCCATTGGGGACTCATTTGTAAATGCTTGAGGTTGAGTGAACTTGTATTTTTGCAATAAAGTTATTACCAATGCACTCCAGCAGGGGCGCTGCACAAACGCCTACACTCTGTGTATGAGTGTTTTTTTTTTCATAGAAAGCATGAGTTTTTGTCTTATGATACAAAGTCAATATAAAATGGTATTTTAATGTATACCATTATCAAAATCCTCACATTGACAGTGATTAATAAACATCGGGGCTAATTTTATAACATATAATCTGCATCATGCCAGCTCAACTGTTGTATACAGTATAAGTTCTACTGAAGAAGGAAAGTACAGAAGAGCCTTGTCGTGGGTTGAGGGTATATCAGCACCTCGATGTGGCTTGGGCTGTTCATTGCAGCTCTCAATGGCAGATTCCTCCTAATCAGTTTATGATGATCTTCAAGGAAAGCTCTCGCTTAATTAAAATAGGCATTTTTTCATGCTTATGTTTCTGTAGTGTATTCAAACGGATATACAACATTATACAAAACAAGACAAACTGTGAAACTCATCACACTCATCATACAGTAAACAAATTATCAAAAAGGCTGGACATTATTGCATCCTCCATATTGCACACTATGAATTGCCCTTCAGTTTTTTTACACTGTAGAAACAAGATGCACCCATAACAACTCACAAACAATTACAAAGAAAATGCAAAAGTAACACATTCAATTGAACATGAAATTTTAAAATAGAAAAACTACCAGTGAAAACATTTTCTAGTATAATGTACCAACAATAAAGTTTCAAAAATCTCATATTCAAAAATGTCTTTCTACAATTTCTAAAAAAGAACCTTTTTTTTTTTTTTTTTACAGATTATCCCATTTATAACAGTGGTTCTCAGTCTTTGACTGGAAGGGCCCGCTTTGTCTGACACAAAATGAGCACTGAAAATATGTATTCTGCATTTATGGCAAAAGTGCATGTTTTCAAACTTTTTAATAACAGAAATTGATATATTAAATTGTGGTTATGGTCCCCAGACCCCTGGTTGAGAACCACTGATTTAGAAGGTCTTCAAAGACTTACTGATTTCATCTTTCATGTTTTAAAGGATTAGGTTGTAGAAGAAGTTTAAAATAGATCATTTTTTGGGTGATTGCCTCTGTACCAGAATGAAAGTGTCCTCACAGAACCTGAAGTATTCTCAGAACTGCACTATAACAACAGATGACAGGTGATGACCACAACTTCTGTTTGTTTAGACAGTTTCCTCCACAAGGTGTCAGTATATATGCTCTTTAAATATAGACCTATATTTTTTTTTTTATTATGTAAGGACATACCTGCAGTGAGTTTGTAGTTCTTGTCTTTGTGTTAAAATTGTGACAATCTATTTATGCAGAAGAAAAGATGATGTCTTCTTTTTTTTTTTGCTACACTAAGACTTGTGTTCCTGGAATGCTTTCTTTTGACAAGAATTGCTCAATGGTTTTCACCCCTGAAAAGAATGGTAAATTGCACATTTCTCTTTAGTTCAACTGACAGTGATAGAAAATGAAATATTTGCAGATCCTCAAATGAACTGTGTTTCACACACTGCAGCATTTCTGGAAAACAAAGCTTTTCATTATTGTGTATGCGTTGCTGTTTTGAGATGCCCTTTCCAATGTTGCCAGAGGGAAATAGATTAACCCAAATGTACTTATGTTATTTAGTTTTTCAGCAAAGAGGCATTCCTGATTACTGGAAAGAAGAAAACAGAAATATGAAAGTCTATCCATTTATTCTGAGTATTAAAAACAATTACAGTCAAAGAGAGCAGTGGTTCAAAGAATATCCTTGATTCAGATAAAGATCCAGACTAAACAAGACCCAAACTTCAGCAAGGTCAGGACACAAACCCTGAAATGACCTGGCCGAATGAGAACATTTATGCCAATAAGACACAATAAACAACACAAAATTAACCTTATTTTTAATAATTATCACTTGGTATACCACCAATATACCAAGACTAAAGGTTTTCATTTTAAACGACTCATGTAAGTTGAGAGCAAATGAGTTTTCTCAAAGAGCAATTCGTTCATTGCTTTTGTGACTACACATGTACAACATCCTTTCTTTCATAAACAGAATTCTTCAGGAGGTGACTTGGAGTCAATAACTCGGACAAAAAGGCAGATGAGTGAAGAAAAATCATTAATCGTTTCGCGTAATTTGTGTTTGGCTGGTGTTATCACGATTTCTCAATATGGAATATGATTAAAAAAAAAACATTTTGGAGAATTTGGCTATAAAATGTCACGTTTTAATTTAATTCTGCTCAAATGAACGAAATGACTTGAATAAAGATTTGTTAATTTTGCTGAACGAAATCCAAGTCAGGCTAATAGCCTAATCTTCCCATCAACGCAATATGTGATGCAAGGTTGTTCGTTTATATAGGCCTAATTAACAACATATGAATTAGACCTGGTGTTTGAATTCTTTCAGATCACCTTGAAGGCAAAACATTACTGGTGAATGAAAACATATAGGCTACGTACCTAACAGCGGGGCTCTGAACCGGTTCAAGGAACGAAAACGAAAACCGGAAACGAACGAAATTTTGACAGGAACAGAACCAGAAACCGAAACGAAATCAAATTTGATAGTTCCGAACAGAATCGAACATTTGAAAGGGCCATTAAGCGGTTAATAACGTTATTTTATCGTTCCATTTAATATTTGAAATTTGCTGTCAACCAATCAGGAATTCAGATATGCAAATGTGACGCTGACGCATCCAACGCTTGAAATGCCTGCTCAGCTGTGAACTCGCCATAGGTAAATCGCAATGGCAATGCATTAGTGTTTATCCGAGGATATAGTGTAAGATGGATTCAACAGATCATGCGCACCTGCAGCGCTTGTGAATGGAGAAAACAGAATAAAACTATAGGCTTTCATAAAAAGGAATAGCATATTGGCCTACACGAAATGTATTTCACTTAAAGGCACAAATATGTAATTTTCGCCACTGGAGGGCGCGTATTCAAAATAAACAAATAGACAAAGGCGTGGTTTGATGACGCCGTGAGTGTGGAATCATGGGAGTTGTAGTCTTCATCCCCACAGCCGATGCAATCCAACAGGACTCGGGCAGAAATCATGTTCATGGATGAGCTAATGATTTATTAACATAGTAGAATGAAGCAGGGTGAGGCTGAAAGCCCTCGAAGCGAAACGAGGCTGCTGAACGAACGTGACACAAGGCTCGAAAGCAGCGGAGCTTTTATTATGCCACAGTCGACCGCGGTGTTTCCAAGTTTTCTACAAAACAAAACCGGAAATCGAGGATGTATGACGTCATTGGCAGGCGACACAATGACACATATGGACACGGTCCGTGTCACTAGTTAAAATTGCTTATTTCTCTGGATTTAAACATTCTTCGAAACATTTGGGATAATGAAAGAAAGGACAATGGAATACAAATACAACGTGCAAACTTCAGTCAACTTGTTTTTGTATATATATATATAGTGTTTTTAATGTTTGTAAAAGTTTTGCATTACCGGCATTTTAGCACATTATTTCTGAATTAAAAAATGCGAGCCTACGCGACTTGTTTTTTTCCTCTCAAAAGGCAATTTTATACCAGTAGCATTTTTTTTAACATTGCAGCAAACAATTTTAAATATCTTAAAGGGGTCATATGATGCGATTTCAATTTTTCCTTTCACTATGTGGGAAGATTTGCATAACGCCGCCCTTTGTTCACGCAAAGAAAGAAGGCGTAACTTGTATTCTCACTGAAGTATTGTTGACGCTGCAGCCATGTCGTGAAGACGCTGTGTGCTTCGTTGTGAAAGCGAAA